ACATTGGTTCTGAAGTGAACTGACGAATTGGACTGGCATTCCAGTAAGCTCTATAGCATATGGAAAGATCGAGTTGTATGAACGGATAGTATGATCACCATTCTGGAAGTAGCCACATCTGCGGTGTTTATTTACAGTCTCGAAACATCTGTGGTCTTTAAACATCATGAAGCTTTTCTAGAAAGCTTTCAGCGACGCTGTTTAGGAAGGCCCCTCAAAATGCGATGGTAAACCGACGTCACAAACGATCAAATGCTTACGACTAGCGGTCTGACCAAACTGTCAGATGGACTCAGATACCAGCGCCTGTCTTTGTTTTACAAAGCAGCCCTAAATGGCCCTCGACGCATTGGAGTGAAATACAGGGCAACGATACACCTCGCTAAGGCACGTCTGCTTGCGGAGACCTACTTCCGTAGCAGAAAGTTTCCTAATATCAATCTGAAATACCGCTTTTATGGGTATTGCTTCAATTATACGCAATAAACTAAGGTTATGCCGTTGTTTAATTTCTGCTAGTTTTTGATGAAGATGACAAAACAACAACTTACAGCACTGCTCTAAACATCCTTGATCAAATAGTTACTTTAGTTTTCGAGTCATAAATCGATTATTTGTGTGGGGAGGTGCACAGTTTTACGTAATATTTTAGAAGTGTCTGTTAACAGTCCCAATGCACTATTAATGTTTCTTCTGAATTGCTAATTTCTTTGAATAAGAAATTCATCTCATGGTGCTGCGATGCTACGGATGGAACAACAAGTAGCAAGTCGATGGATTTTGAAGCATGAGAAGAGCATGATGCTTCGACATGGTAATACCAGAGTCTACGAGACAAACAAACGTGCTTTCTAATGCGTGTACTGCCACTATAGGACGCCTTGACCCGTCTGATAGCTGACAAGAAATCATCACTATCTGTGATAGATAAATAATCCATAAATAAATGAGCGATCAAGTCTTTATTTTGTTGAATATGCTGCTTTTACCATGCTGTCATTTCACGTTCACTGCCTACTCGTTTATTTATTTACATTTGATTCTCTTAGTTGAAGCAGTACTCATTACGGCAAATCTGAAGGCATTCCTCCTCAAAGCTTGCAACAGTGAAACTCGTTGAAGGTCATTCGCTAATAACCTCTAGAATTTATGCCTATGCAGTGCGACAGGATTTAGTAGCCTACAGTGGAGGCAGACAAAGTTTAAATTGATAGCCTTTGCCAGTAGGCGATTCGGACAACGACTACTCTGTTCTTAACCTTCTTAGAGTTTTATCTGTATTTTGCTTCTAACATTGAATTGGTTCAGTTCTACTTTCCTAGAATACTCTGTACTTTGGTTTATAAATGATTTGTTCATATGATCCCTGGTACGTATTTTAATTGTCTTTTTCAATATTAATGATTCTAGGCTCAGTTAAACAAAGGATAGTATTCTTTATTATAACTACTGACGTTTCGATCCAGATACATTAGTCCTGCTCAGGGCAAACAATCTGTTGTTTGCTTTGAGGATGACGAATATATTTTGGCGAACACGTCGGCAGTTATAATTAACACTGCCACCCGTCTGTTTCGTTGTGCTTAGGACATGGAAATGTCAATTTAGATAGGTGGTTGTACGACTCATGGTTTAGGGTGTCAAATGCAACAGATGGTAAAATTTTACTGCTAACGCGTTTCGCTACATAGATCGTCAGGGCTGAACTAAGAAGAAATGCCTGCTTGAAACCATTTATGTCAATTTAATGTTTGTTTATTCCTTTTGCTTTGACCGACAATGGCTATGTAATTTTCAGCGATTGTGAGCAATCGATAGATGCACAATAAGAGTATATAGTGAAGTTTAGAAAGTGTGAAACAAGTAAAAGTCGATGCTATTCAGATATAGCCACAAAATTTCAATCAGCTATGTTAGACTGCTTTATACTTCGTCGATCTTCTTATATGCATGTTAGCGTTTATGTTTATCTTTCACCGGCATATTGCAGGTTGAAGGCCATATCCAGCGATAGCACTCCTTCTGAGGGATCTTCATCTGCTTATGACTTTGTCGACGTAGAATTGATGCAGCACGTGCATTTGGAAGTCACGACTCTCATCAGGCTGTTGAAAGGTGAACAAATTACAGAGTTGCGCCCGTCCAGTATTCTGAATCGTCTTTTCAGAGATTTGCTACTACAAGCCATTTCGTAAAGACAGCAACATTCCCCTCCTATCAAGTCTCGAGCGGGCATGTTTAGTATCATTCTTTGTTCAGTGTCGAGCCATAATTTGTTTTTAGGCTATCTGGAATTGGATGGATTGTTATCCCTCGCAGTTCGCAGAACTTCAAACAAATAAGAACGAAGAATTGAACGGTAAGACGTTTCCTAGTCAGAAATATGTGTGTAATAACTATAATAAATGTTGCTATGTATATCACCTATAAAGTAATGTAAATGAGACAGCGCAAAACTGGTTTATCATGCGCAGAGCAATATTATAGCTTATCAGATGATAGAATGATAACGAAGTTTCGACCCATATTTTGCTGACTTTCTTCAAGGTATTAAATATGGTAGGTATCAGTATCTATGGAGGCCGTTTGCAGCAAATGGTCCGTTTCAAACCGTTTGATAAGCATTCAGATCGTGCTGCTAGTGCCTCTTGGTGACGGATGGAACAGGATTCATTCATTCCTCGGTTCATATCGTCTATCATGGTTGACATTACCGCCCAGCTGGACGGAATATTACACCTCCTTGACCCGTTGATGATGCCAACGCAGTATGCCCATGAAGGACATGTTCTTGCTCCAAATGTTGCACGATTCCGATAATCCTTTGGCATTTGTTATGGACTTGACAGGTGAGTCTTTCTCTTCTACCGGCGTGCATCAGTTCTACGTACTGCTGACTCTCCTCAGTTTACTCGTTTTTAGATGAGTGTTTTGTTTCTTCTTCGTAATATTTCCTGCAGCTATATGAAAATGTACAAATCCAGAGTTGGGAATTTTTGTTCTCAGAATTACTTTGTAAGTCATTAGTAAAGTTTACTACTGAAACTATTATCTTCGCATTAACAAATATTATCTGTATTACGGAGGGGAGGGGGGATGAATTGTCTTGTAAAATATTGATGATGGTTTCTGTGTCAGAATAAAATAAAGAAATATCTTATGTCACGCCCAAAGCCATTTTCTTTGAGAAAAGGCGAAGAAATTTATATCCTTGGCGCATAGAAAAATAACATTCCGAAATTTCTATATTCTATTGTTTATAATGTTGCTGAAGAATTTAATGGGGTAATTATTAATGTTAGTACATAGAAAAAGTTTAGTAAGTCATATTTCTGGAAGAAATTCATCTCTCCAGAGTCTAACAGCGCTGTCTATTAATGTTTATGCTAATGGCAGTCGCCGTCATCGGAATGTACGTCACAGCATTACACTTGCTGGATCATTTGACGTTTG